TACAAACTTGAAGAAAAGAAAAAACAAGAAAAAAAGCGTTGGAGCGAAGTTGAACACAAAATTGTTGAATATAGCTACAATCTGGCCAGATAAAGGGGGAAGATCCAATGCCTGCAAAAGTAGGGAAATTTCATTACTCAGTGTGCCAGCAAGACTTATGAAGGCTCTTTTATCTGGGCAGATATGTAAGATAATGATGTTTCAACGATTTCTTTATGTATTTGAATTTCAGCTTGGAATGGATGCAAAGTCGATTCATTCCTTTTTCATCCACGCTTTTAGTAGATGTCGCTAGAGTCATATGGTCTGTTGGTTCTCCTATTAAATGTTAAAGTTTATCGCAGAAACAGCCCGCAAGCCCTGATTTAGTATGGCAATGACGATATATAGCTTATTAATATTTCAGATACGTGCTTCGTTCTATTTGAAAAACCAAAATCAGTTTTAAATCTAAAAAGAAAAAGAGTCATCACCGGTATGTCTAGTGATTGTCACGGTACCATAATACATGATTTATAGGTATGTGTGAGGGACCCGTTCACTCGGTCGAAATTGGAGTACTGACAAACAAAAATCTCCATTTTGGATGAGCTCAACAAAAAAAAGGCCAGCCTGGATTCTATCCGCGTTAAAAAGCTGATACATTTAATACCGCCTTATCATGGCTCTTCTGGTGTGGTGGAAGCCACAGTGCGGATTCCGGACGGCTCTGAAGGCTGAAACCCATCACATTTACATGTCTACAAAACGCATGTATAGTCCTCAGATCAATGCTGATTCAAAAGTTTTTCCCTAAAAACGCCACTCATGGAAAAAACTGCCCATATATCGAAAACCCAACATGTTCTATCACCAAAAAAAAACATTTTCCAATGTGCCCGAGCTTCTTTATTTATTTGCACCCGTCTGCCGTGCCGCAGTCCTGCACCATGCACGCGGCCAAGAAGGGCAAAAAAAACCCATCTCACCCCATCTCATCTCAGACCGAATTAGTCCAGAAATCTTCATTTACATCAAAACATGATCATGTCGCTTCATGACCCGCTAAGCAGAAAACGCAATCTCGGCCAGGAGCCCCACCCAGACCCCAAGCGTGCTCGCACCGAGAATGAACAAGAGAAAATCTCCGAGCAGGTGTACACTCTTTTCGTCAAATCCGCCATGGAATCGCTAGAAAAGGTATGTGAGATACTTTCAAGGGGCCACCAAAAGCCCGAAAAACGGGATGAACTTCCAATTTTTTTTTGTTTTTTTTTGGTTATTCAAGCAATTACTAACCTTTTTAGAATGATACGCTCAAAGTAAATTCGCTTACAGCGAAAATCTCGTTGCCCATGAAACACCCTGAGGCGATCTCGCTCGCGCAATTTACTATAGTGCTCCGAAGCCTCACGGTGAACGTGCTGAAACTCGATAACAGCGCTGCCGGGGCGCTCGTGGCCGCCATTGTACGGTACCCGTGGCTCGAAATCTCTCTGGCAGCAAAAAAAAGCGGTGATTTCGCCCCGTTTTTGGACGTTTACGCACAGTTTCTCAACGTGCTTGTTTCGTCATACCCAAAATACCTCCATGATAGCATCAAGAAGCTCGTAAGAGACTTCCCCGACGTCCACGACGACGTGTATCCGCACCACAAGATCCTCAAGCGGTTTGTCACGTATATTCCGACCTGCATCAACACGATTCCAGGCACGCTCATGCGGGAGTTCCCCCACCACTTGTCGCTGACAACAGCAGACATATACCACTACGTACGCCACTGTATGGCACTCATGCAGTACTGCCCGGACTTGCAGTTCCCGATCTGGCAGATGGTGACGGAATGTTTGATCAAATTGGACGTGGAGTTGCAGAATGAGTTGGACGATTTGGACGACGATCTTATAGAGGAACTAATCAATGAGGAGGATGAGGAAATCGACGAAGAAATGCCGGAAGACGAGGCCGAGACTGGCGCAGAAGTCTACCACGTGACGTCCACTCGGAGCATCCGCAACTTGGTGTTGAAACTCGACCTGTCGCTTGAGTTGCTCTTGAAACTGACGGAAAATGCATTCACACAAGAACAGCTTGATTCCGGCGCCGGCGTCAGCCTCTATAACACGCTCACCTCGTTGTTCCGCACGCACGTGTTGCCCACGCACTTCACGAAATCAGTGCAATTTCTCATGTTCCATATCTCGCAGTACCAGCCCGAATTGGCCGATTCGTTTTTGGTGTTGCTCATCGACGTGGCGTTCAGCCCCTCGGAAACTACCGAGAAAAGGCTCAAGGCATTGCAATACTTGGCCTCGTACATCCTGCGCGCCAAGAACTTGACGAAACACCAGGTGGTGTTTGTGGTGTCATATCTAGTCGGGTGGATCAACAAGTACATTTCCGAGCGGGAGCACGAGGTCGACACCGACGGCAGGTCGGCGCTGGGCGGCATGGAGCGGTTCAAGCTCTTTTACGCCACGTTCCAGGCACTTCTCTACATCTTTTGTTTCCGGCATAAACAATTGTCACGTGCGCAAGATGAAGATGAAGATGAGGACGATGGCGGAGAATGGGAGTCTGATATCGACAAGTTTTTCCAGCGCGTGATCATTGCACGGTTCAACCCGCTCAAATACTGCGACGAGACTGTGGTGTACATATTTGCGAAAATCGCCACCAAGTTGAACGTGTGCTATTGCTACTCGATCATAGAGCACAACAAGCGGGAGCGCATGACCAATAGCAATGTCAACCTCCCTTCTGCTGTGGGAAACTTCCGCCACAAACAAGAATTCTTGGATCTCGAGGCATATTTCCCCTACGATCCCATGGTGCTTCCGAACTGCAAGAAATTGATCAGCGTGAATTACGTGGAGTGGAAAGACGTGAATCCCACGGAAGAAGACGATGAAGACGACGAATCAGGAAGCCACGACAGTGACAGTGACGATAGTGATGACGATAAGGTGGACGACGCCATGCGTGCTGAAGACAGCGATGAGGAAATCACCAGCGATGAAGAGGACGATTGAGGCCATGCAAGCAAATTGAAAAATATCTACTTTTTCCATTTTTTTCTCCTTGCACGGTCGCATTTTGGCCTTTATGTGTCTGGTGACGTTCGGTCTGTATAAAGCACTGAATAAAGTTTTTTGCAAAAGTTTTATTTGGCTCGTTCCCTGTAGACTTGTCCTGCCGACCTTTGCTTGTTCGACACTTATGATCAGATCGCCCGGATTGGGTTTGATCGGTCGCTTTGCCGTCTATGATCGGATCCCTGGAGGTTGATCGATCGCCACGCCGCACACACCACTTTATGATGATATGGGTAATGGGACTCGGGCCGGTCCTGATGTCGCCTGGATAACGAAAAGAAAAGAAAAGAAAAGGAAAACAAACAAACAAACAAACAAACACAAACAAAAACAAAGGGACTGATAAAAGTTAAAGTCCCTGTGAGCCCACGAAAAGATGGCTTCACACTACACTCATTTATTCAATTCCTCCTTGATGCTTATATTCTCTTCAATTCTCGCCTCCTCTCGCTTTTTGTTGTTATAACCTTCTTGTGCATTCTCCTTGAGGGATTTCTTGTCTCAAGTTGGATTTCGCATTCCTATTTTTTCAGTTGACATTCGGGCCGGTCTTACCATATACTGACTGCTGTTCTCTTCCTTCTCTTTTCAAACTCGGCGATCTCTTTTTCATTTTCTTTTTATATTCTTCATTTTTTTCCTTTTTCTTTTTTTTTTCATTTTTCAATCATGCCTTTATTCGTTTCATTCCTCACATTTATGCCCAATTACATGAAGCGAGGGGATCACCTCGTTGGACTTATCATGCATACTTTGAGATCCTTTTTCATGCTCGAAACTTTCGAATTGTTTTCCAACTGCACCAGCTAAAAATTTAAGAACCAAAGCCACGCTGCACCGATTTTGATGATGCCCGCCAGGATCATGAAAACGTTCCATGGAAAAAGTCAAATCCATCCACATCGAATGAGACTGAGCTCATGTGATACATGTGAACTACAGATATGCCGTTCTTTCCTTTTATCGTTTTGACCAATGCATTCAAAAAGAAGTGTTGGATCAATCGTAATTATTTGAGCTATTCTTAGATCGGTAAGTCTGTGAAGTCGGGTGAAACGAGCACACTGACGGGAATTATCATGACCAAGTAGATTCTTAAAACGTTCCGCTAACCATGCTTGCTTCGAACATTGGTGGCCTGAATATCACCATTCTCGTTTGCCATCTTGAATTTGCACAAAATTGACATCTAGTTAGTTTGGCCCGCAATTCATTGCACCTCATTCAGATAGAGCTGGTTCAATGCCCTCAAACAGCAAGCTTTTGACAATTGCAAGTTTTTGATCACTAAAAAAAGGAAAAAAGGAGACTTGCAAATTGACTGCGCAAAAACACTGGGTGTAATACAATGCACGGTGAAATGCATAGACCTGTGGTTTTGTCACTATCATAGTTAGTGAATGAGGCAAAAAATGAAAAAAAAAAAGAGGCACTTAGTTCAGCCTGAAAACCATCAGTCTCATTCTTTTTTTTTTTTTTCTAAAGAAACAAATCGTATATGGAATGACAGGGAAAGACAGCCAAAACAGAAGTCTAAAAAAAAAAGTCTTCTTTTCGACTTTCGTGGACTTGAGCTTGCCCCCCATAAAGATGGATTTAATATAGAACGAGTGATCCGTAACATGTTTCCGAAAGATTTTTGTATTTTCAACATGATTTCACATTACAGGACGCTCTCATCAGCGTTCTACCCAGAATGAACTCTCATCGAAAAGATCTGGAAAAGAACAACAAGAATATTACCCTTAAGACTTTTTTTGATCCAGTTTAGCATGCATAACGAAGATAATGAATCATGTGGATTATATTGCCATAGTAAGTGTTGCTTTCCGAGCCAAAGGAGGCTGTATGAACCAAAAGCCGAGATAATTGTCTTTCATCTCGATCTGTATAGCCTTATAGCCATTCCGACACATAACGACATCAGGTTCCATGGTCTAGATGGTTATGACATTCGCCTCACACGCGAGAGGTCTCGAGTTCGATCCTCGATGGAATCAATGTTGCTTTTTTTCCATGTTATCCATATTTTTTTTTTAAGAAAAACTTACCTTTATTTTTCATGAGTGTAATGTGTTTAGGTTTTTCTGGCACAGGTCCGACAAAGAGCTGCGTGTTGCGCGCTCGGATTTGCATTCGGAAACAGTCGCGCGGGAGGCAATCCTTTTTTTTGCAGTTTCGAATTTGGTCTGCGTCTCCCACTTTTCGAATAAAGAAGGATTTGGCCCATTTGGGATAGGTACTTAAGGCAAAGGCTCATGCGTAATAACAACAATAAGAAAAAAGGTGCAAATCTTTAAAAGTAAACATCACCTCTGATAAACGATCAAAACTGCGGATTCTGATCTTCTAATTTCGTCTGCCAGTGGCCCTATTTTAAAGATGGGAATGGCTCTAAAAGCATATTTCAATGTACACGATGATGAACAAGCAAAGAGCTCTTTTCCATGAGGAAATTTCCAAGCGGGAAAGTAGCTGCTTTCGAAGATTGTTCCAAAAAATCTTGCATTTCAACAGTGTCTTTGAATGGCTGCTATGGCACACCTTTTGCAAACATGTCTGCGCTATCATCGTTCGTGTTCACATAGCTAAGCGTCATCTTTTGAAGCTTAGCTTGTTGCTTCACAAAATCCGCGTACATTTCTGATATTTCAAGTTCCCGAACCACCAGTTGCGTCTGAAACGAACTGAATAGTAGGCTTATTGTCACATAAGACGTCACACATGGGATCAAAGCCAGTCTCGTCGAATAGCTCAATTATCGAGACAGTTTCAGCGGTAACTAGCCCTAAAGCCCGAAGTTCATCATTGACTGTAGAAAAAGACAACAAAGTCTGGAGTTTGATTTCCTAACTCACCGGGCATCCACTGTACAAAATGATCGAGCCTGATGTGCACCTGCTATTATTATCGCAATCTGATGAGGCACCGTTAGCGTGACTATAAAATGATAGACATTCATTTGAGTTGCATTCCAGGATGATTTTTGTGGAGCTGGACAGACTTTGCTGGACTTTTCACAGAGCCTGTAAAGGCTGGTCAGTTCAAGATCAGTTGTTGAAAGACGTGTGTGGGTCAAGATTATAGGTGCATGAAAGAAATCTAGGACATCGACAGTTGTCACCATAAGTAGGCAAATTTCTGCAAAGAAAAGAGAATGAAATCTTTTCACAGAAATCAGTCTAGCTTGCTTATATATCTTACCAATTTATTCACGCTCACATATAAAAGCACCTATTCGCTAATTTCCTGTTTTGTCTTTATGCGGGCTCGACTCTGGTCCCGAGATATTAGGTCTGAGTGGCTTCATTATATTAGAATGGAACAACTAGAGTTTACAGATCCACTCATGCTCGTTCATACATCGGCATAAAAGTTGTATCCTATCAAATCATATCTATTAAACCACTTTACCGAAAGCTTCCAAACTCACTTCTCCTCGTCTGAATCTTCGTCCAAGTCCAAATCTGGAATCTCAATCTCCGAGCCGTCGTCTGAATCCTCATCAACTTCCATGTGCTCTTCCACTGCCTCACTATGTCTTTGCACATTCTCATTGTTCTCCGATTTCTCGTTTTCGTCCAAAACCTCGTTCTCGGCCTTGACCTCTGCAAGGTCAGCCTGGTTCTCCGCCAAGGTCTTGAATGGTTTAGACGTGAAGATATTCTCCTTGTTCGGTTCCTCTTCAGTTTGAACCGTAGATGATTTCACAGTGTTTTCTCTCTGCACGGGGTCACTCACTGGCGCGGCCTTGAACCGTTTCACTTCATGCTGAACCAAGGCTTCTCTGTCTCCATTCTCTTCCTCGCTTTCCTCATCGTCCAATTGAGCCTGTTTCACCAAAACAGGCAAAGGAGGAAATCTGGGCGAGTTCAACACCGCAAGAGTTTCGGAGCGGTTCAAAATCGACGTGGCGATCGGTAAGATCGAGGCCAGCTCAGGGGCCGGGTGCAAAACGGACGCGATCAAAACCTGTTGGAGCTCTACGGATACGGTACCGAACTTAGAGGCGTCCGCCTGCTTCACCGCTTCCACAAGAACGTGCTTGAGGATTTTGTTATAATGCGTGGACGAAATAGGCACTTTCTCAATGATGATGGCGAAAAAGCGGAGCACCACATTTCGTGTTTGCTCGGGAATACCCTGTTGGAAAAGATGTTCGTGCGAAAGAATGTCCAGTAAGGGTACCGCCGCATTGCGTTTGGTCTTTTTCCGCGCCGACTTCGACTGGTTGGAGAGCTTGATCTTATCTGAATCGGCCACCATGTTCTGGCCCGCTCTTGGCTGGACCAAATAGATGGACGATTCGATGAGACGCGCCATCAGCGCATGGTCCATGTAGAACGCCGTCAAAGTCAAGAAGTCCGTGGCACACGAGATGAGGTTGCACGCCATATCCTCGTTAGCAAGGATTTTGGCATGGTCGAGCCGCTTTCCCCGGAGAAATACCAACAGCTCCAATGTGGCGAGTACTGCAGATAAGTGTGGCACCAACGACGCCGCAAATTGCGCCGGCAAGCTGCCCAAAAGCGCTAATGCGGCTCCATGGCAGCGTGTCAATGAGACTTCAACGTATTCCTTCACGTCGTCGTCGCGAATCTCGCGTTTGAACGGAATAAAACGCGTGTTTAACGCGCAAATGAGGTCAATGAGCAGAAGCACGCGGCCAACCGGCACACAGACGGCGAATTTCGTGCCTGACATGAGGTAACCCTTCAAGATCTCGAGGAGAACGGCTATGCGCTGAGAAATGGCGAAAATCGTGTGTGGATGGTTGATGTCGACGCTCAACAGGGGGAATAAAGGCTCCTCCTGCGACCCGAGCTGCTGCAACAACGCAGACGCCTCCTGATCGTCCTGTACGGCCAAAAAACTCGCGTAGATCTCGGCCGTGTTGGCAGTTTCCGCGATCAATGCATTCACATCACGGAGCCAGTGCTGTTCTGGTGCCTCTTTCTCGATGACAGGCAAACAAGCCAAGGTGGTGCATACAGCATCACGTAAGTGCTGTGGGAAGGCCAAAAATTGGGGCTCCATGACATACTTCAAGAGCTGCACCTTGAGCTTATTGGCAAACGGCCGCAGCGTCGTGGGATGCTCGAAAATGAGCTTTTTCATGGAGTCCAACACTAACTCCGGGCTCTGGGATAATTTATCCAAAAGAACGCCGAAAATGCCGGCCAAATTTGGCGTCAAAACCTCGCGCGTGAGCGTGGGCTTGCCTCTGATGCTGTCACAGAGTTTCTTCAAGCATTCAATGCCGGAATCGAGAATCATCTTGTTTTGGGCGTGCACGGAGTTAAGCACTTTCAAGATCTGGGCGAAAAACGCCGATCCTTCGGCCCCGACAATCTCGGAGCTGTCGGCCAAAACATGCGCAATGTTGATACCACACCATACGCTGTAGGCATCGTTGGCCCTGCAGAGGTTCAACGTGCGGCCAGTCAAGTGTTTAAGGTCGACTTTTGATACCGATGGAAAAGACGCTTTTGCTGTATTGAGAGACGCAAGAATCGGGATAACCGAATCCGGCGCGCTGCGGAGCTGGTCGATGACCACGGCTAAAGGAAGCGACATGAATTTTGGATTGGGCAAAATAAATCAAGGATTCTGTTTCCAAGAAAAATAGTGGTTTTTGTTGGACCTAAGAATATGCGTAATTTCTATGCCGAGCGCGATGAGCCAGATGAGTTCGATGCGCGCGGGCCTATATTTGAGGCAATAATCTTAAACTCTCAGGATCAGATGTGGATGTATATATGATTTATAATTTTTGTAAGGTTTTTATTTTGTGTGTTGCTTTCTTTTTTTTTTTTCTTTCTTGCATATTTATCTCGACACTCTTTTGGTGAGATGATAGCAGAATCTCAGATTTGAAGGCTTGGTAGCTTGAGCGTGGTGTGTGGGAAGGATTTCCCATGCTCTTAGAATTGTATGTCACATTAACACTAAGTGCCAAAGTCTCATAAGCAACGTCTATGATGGGATTTGTATCGACCAGCTAGTGTAGCTTGATTGTCTATATGTGGTCATAATGGCACGGAAGACCTAGAATACGTCACTCAACAAGTTTTGGAAGCCGAAGGGCTCGTACAAAGTACCCTCACCCTCGAAAAACTTGGACATGGACTCAACCCAGTGCAAACGCAACGAGTGCAACATGGCAGATGTACCCTCCATGACGACCAAGATCACCACGGTCAACACCAACCACATGGCGAAGAGGAACACCGTCATAATCACGCCAACCACGCCAGTCATTCCAAACGCATTACTAATCGTCATGGTCCACAACACCGTGGACAACTGCGCGTGAGCCAACGAAAGAGCCCACAACCGTAAGTAAGACGCCGTATGCGACACACAGTTCAAACAGAATTCTATTGTGTGGATTACCTGATGGATCATGATATCGCCGAAATTGTGCGCCTCGTGCTCCTCCTCGTCGTCATTGTCATGGTGACTCTCGCTGCTCTCTGTGTCGCTGAGCGCTTGATACTTGTGCTCCTTGTCCATCTGGCGTTTCAAGTACAACGGCTTGACAAAAACCAACCAAGGAATGCAGATCAAAGCGACCGCCAAAAGCGCCAACTGAACAGTGGACTGGCCAGAGTACAAAGGCTCGGCGACAGTGCCGGGAGACAAGAACATGGTAATCAACATGTTCAACAAGCCTGGAGGCTGCTGGCGGATGGCAAACCAATTCACAGTCCACTTGTAGACGATACAAAGCGATAAGTACCCGAAAATACCCTGCATAAAGAACAAGCCAGGGAGAAAGTTTCCGATGATGTCGATGCCGCTCTTAAAGTGCACAGCGTTCACCAAAGAAAAGAAGTACGAGTACGTCATGTGCATATAGCCCATTAATACCGAGAGCTTCATTTTATAAGAGTTCGAGAACAACAATGCATTCTCAGAACCATGCCACGCTGGGTCCAACCCGATAGCGTAGACGCCAACCTGAGTGGCATGGATCGTCTCGCCAGGCTTGAAATGT